GAGGGGAGAATGAGGGTGGAAAAGGGAGAGGGGAGAAGAGAGGGAGAAGGTCAGAAAAGAGGGAGGAGGGGAGAGCAAGAAACGAAGGTCACCGGCTTTCTGAATGCTGGGATATACTCTTGGTATTCCTGCAAAATGTTTACAAGGACAGCAGCGAGGGAGAAGAAGAAGAGGAGAAATGAAGGAGGGGAGGAGGCAGAGGAGCAGAAGGGGAAGAACAGGAGGATAGATATTACCCTCGGGGCGAGCAGTTGGTGCTTGAGGGAGAGGAGGAGCAAGTCTTGGTCCTTGTAACGATCCAGGAGCTCGGCATCAGCTGGCTTGCGGGGGTGGGCCAGTAGAAGAGCTGATCCTTCTCCTCATCCTCTTGGATCTCGTCCTTCATCAGCCCTCCCTCTCCGACGGGCAGGAGGGGATGAGAGCTACGGAGATGCTCAACCCAGTTGTAGCTGATATCATCCTGCAGGAAGTCTTCCATGATCTTGGAGACCATGAGGGCGAACTCGAATTTGGACAGGCGATGTTCGTTGTTGTCCTTGAGCGCGCTAGCGATGGTGGAGAGCCACTCGTTCTCGTGGTTGACGACGAGGAAGATGGTGAGCGTCTGAAGGATGCTGGAGATGATCAGGAGGCTCTTGCCCGAGCTCGAGTCGGTCAGGAAGATGACGACGATGTTGAAGACCAGGTTGACCATGGACGCGAGCTTGAGGTAGAGCTCCTGTACCGACGCGTTGAGGCGCGAGGACTTGATCTGGTAGGAGAGCTTCGTCATCCTGTACATGGTCGAGAAGTTCTTGCAGAGGTTCCAGAGGACGCGGAGGTTGTAGTAGACGACGTTCAACAGCTCGTCGACCACAAACTGCCAGTTGAGCTTGGCGATGCTCTCGTTCTGACACGTGGTGCAGCAGAAGATCCAGATCTCGCAGCCCCAGAAGGGACACAACTTGTAGACGAGGAAGAGAACGATGGCCGGGAGGAGGAGGAGGGAGCCAAGGGCAAGGAGGATGATGAGGATGACGAGGATGGCAGTCAAGACCCCGCCCTCCTTGATGAGGAAGAGGAGGAGGAGGAGCGTCCTGGACGAAAACCTTGAGTCGAGAGGAGACCTCAATGACTTGTCCTTGTACACCTGCGGAGAAGACTTGACATCTTGTTTGAAACATGACAGATACACTCCCACACGACAACTCAAACAGCCCGCACAGACTTTGCTCGCCACCTTCCTCCGCTCGTCGGCTTACCTTGGCGAACTGGTCGCTAATCTCGGCCAGGGTGGAGGTGGACGAAAGTCCGCACTTGTTGTAGAGCAGGTCGGTCTGGGAGGATGCGGTAGGGCTGGAGAAGTAGCAGCCGTACAGAGAGGAGGTGGAGAGAGGCTGCTGGTCCGGAAAGGCGATCTCGCACTTCTTGGTTGAGCAAAAGTCGTCGGAGGTGCACTGGATGCCGTCCTCGAACGTCTGCTTCACCTGATCGGCCGCACACACTCGCAGCTTGTCCTCACCATAGTAGAACAAGTTGAGGGGCCAGTGGGTCGGGTAGCCGCACGGGCAAGTCTGCGGCCCGTTGGCAACGTTGCTGCCGGCGATGCAGAGCTCGAGCTTGAGATAGTCGGCGCTGTCCCTGCTCATGCGGGTGAGGACGGTCTGGGGGCTCCTGTCGTTGGGGAAGTTCTTCCTGAAGCATTCCTCCGTGCTCCTCCGGTTCTGATTGTACCACTCCGCGTCGAAGTGCAGCGAGGCCACCTGGCCCGTTGTGTTGGAGGGCAGCTGGAGGGGGATGACGCTCTTACTGCAGGAGTAGAAGCCGTGCCTGAAAGTCCGATCGAAGGGATCCCACAAGTAGTCAAAGATCCCCGTCTCAAGGGAGCACGAGGACGTGATCTCCTTGGGGACCCCGACGCTCCCTCGCTCCGTCTCCATGTACGGCCACTGCACTTTGTAACCCGGAGCAGTGCAGCCTGAGCTCGAGAACGCGCACGTTTGCTGGAGGTAAGGATAGTAGCTGTCTAGCTTGGTCTCGTAGTAGGAGGAGGCTTGTCGGTAGGCAAGGGGAGGAGCGACGATGGGCATGACGTTTGCAGTGTCCGGGCAGATGTATGCGACGGAGCAGAGAGTTGTCAGGGTTGCGATCTGAGAGTAGAGAGTGAAGATGAACGAGAGGATGGTGTAGATGATGAAGAGAAACTTCTTCATGCTCCAATCCTTCTCGATGGGCCTCGAGAGGTAGCGGAACGTCGTCCTCCTTATCGACCTCCTCGGCGTCTTCTTGTCCGACAGCCCTGCCCTGGCCCTCATGTCCTCGAACCAAGTCCTCCGGATAGGCGCCATGATCTTGTACTGCCATGCTCTCTCCATGCGCGCGAGCTCGTGCAAGTCGGTCGGCCTCAGGTCCTTGCACATCTCCTTGAGCTCCTCCCGGGCCTCCAGCGCGTGCAGCATCTGAACATCTTTCTTGCCTTTGGTCTTGCCCGTGAGCAGCCTCAGTCGCTGCACCATGGCCTGCAGCGAGTCGTCGACGTCCAGGAGGTCCTCCTGCAGCTTCTCGTTGAGCGTCTCGTGCACTTCCTCCAGCCTCTTCTGATCCCTCCCCAGCTGCGAGAGCGAGAGGTTCTTAGAAGCTTGGACCAGGAACTCTTGGCAGCCGATCATGCCCAACCCCCACAGCATCTCATCGTACGCCTTCTGCGCCACCGGGTTCCGAGGAGGGTCGAGGGTGCTGCTTTTGGTCTGGTAGCTTTGCTGGACCTTGAGGGACCGCAGGAGGTTCATCTGCTCCATCTCGATCCGCCTGTTCTCCGACTGGAACACGTTGAGGTTCGGGAAGCTGAAGAAGGCGTGGAAGGACTTGTGCCTGTCCGAGGAGAAGGACGCAATCTCTGAGGTAGAGTCCGCAAACGAGTTCTGGATCGCGTTCATCCTCTGCTTCTTTGCCTCTGCAGGTAAGACAGAATCAGGCTTGAGGAGGAGGGGGCACGATGTTCGCATACCGTCTTCGGGGAGGTCCTGATCTGTGCGGCCATGCCGTCGTCTTGAGCCTGCAAGAAAGCAATACTTCAGACCAACAAGTCAAGTTCATTTGGAGCCTATGTACAAGGATTGGAGACGCGGTCCGGAAGGAAGCTACCCGCAGCAAAGACAACATTCAGTAACAGATCAGTCCATCATGTAGGTGGGCCAGGCAAACCCGAGGAGAGAAGAGAGAGCATGGCGGCTCACCATGAAGTGATGGTGTCGGGGATGAAGGAGGAGAGCTCGAGCGGGTACGACGGGGGAGCTACGGGGAAGCATTCGTAGTCCTTGAGCGGCATAGCGCTATCCCGACCCTGTCACTTGCACCCTCGGATAGGACCCACCCCCTCTCCGCTCTAGCCAGTTCTACCCCTCAGGTACCCCACCTGTTTGCATCCAGCAGTTGAAGGCTACCCCTGCGACTTAGGTTCCACTTGCTATGGAACCACCCGGTACTATACAAGCAGTGATACCCGCGTGTTCATACCACCCCCCCTTATGTTGTTAACGTTCCTTTCCCGGTCCGATCCGTGACCCTGGCGGCCAGTCACTTGGGGTACTTCAATAATTGTTTTAGGGGACTGTACTACCCCTACCTCCTGACCATCTACACGATGACCCCCCTACCCCCAGCTTGACTGCATTAATACTACTACGGTGACCTGTGGTAGTTGTTCCAAGTGACGAGACTGAGGACCCGGGTAGTCGGAGGGAGATCAGAAGGCATTCGGAGGGGTTAGGATGATGACTCTGACCGTCCATCCCGTCCTAAAGTTAAATTTTCACAGTTCAGGGGTGGAGAGAGCTGGGGGGTGGGTCATTGTTGCTTGGGGTACCTGAGAGTCCCGCGTGTTCACTTCAAGTGCACTTCGACCGGCCCGGCCCGCCTCACTCAGGCTACCAAGGCTAACATATTGTGAGAGCTAAAGCATTTAATATTAAAAATAGATTAGCTCAGAAAGTTCTTTGCAAGCATTTTGGTGTACAATTGGCATGGGTGGGTGGTACCAAGTACCCGTACTATTACAAGAACTTTCATGCTATATGATGGGTAGGGGTCATATCCATAGGCAGGGGTTCAAAAATACAGGTTTCGTGATGGCAGTTTGGGGAGCAAAGGGTGGAGGAGGAGGCGGAGGAGGCGGAGGAGGCGGAGGAGGCGGAGGAGGCGGAGGAGGCGGAGGAGGTGTTGGCATCGGGGGAGGAAGAGGATCTTCGATGCAGTTGAGCAGTGGCACACGAAAACTTTTGGATGACATGATGAAGAACGCTGGGCTGAATCATCGTAAGGCGACCCAATTGAGACAGGTATGGAAAGCATGGCTTCTTGCAAACGAGATGAAACGATACGAGTGCGGTTTGATTGACTGTTGCTTGCTTCAAGTTTGTGGATACCAATGGTTCTCTCCCTGTTGCAAGGCCGGTAGTTGATGTCGACCAGTTGGCGTCCACGTTGCCCGTGCGTTGACTGCCAAGTCAAGTCATCTGATCTCACCTGTGCTCGAGCAGGCGAAGCCCCGGGTTCTCAATCCCAAGAACTTTCGAGGAGGAAGGAAAACGGCTTCAGCGATCGCACAGGAGGTTAGGATCACCCTCACATCAGAACAACCCCTCCCCCCCTCCCCCCCACAACCCGTGCTCTTCTGGTCTCTGGGCGGTCGCGTGTTGTAGTCCGTTGTTGTCTCCTCCTGCCCTGCGAGCATCTTGACAGAGCTGACGGTGTCACAAGGTGTCCCAAGACAGCGAGAGGAATCGACCTCCTCCTTCCACCAAGTTGTTCGTTGATCGCGAGCAGGAGAAGCAGAGGCTTGCGATGTTCATGCAGGTATCTGTGAGCTGGTGCTGTGCCGAGGATGACTGGATCGCAGTACGAGGGTGACATCCCTGTGGTCAAACCTGTGCAGGAGCTGAGAACGAGGACGAGGCGATACGTTCCTCCTGGGGTCCGCACGACTGCCACAGCGAAATCAGAGACAGAAATCCTTCAAGTAAGACCCAGCAAGGAGATCCACCCAGCTCATGTGTCTTCTCCCTTCGTCTTGTCTTGTGTTTTTGTCTACTTATTCTCTCCTCTCCTTTCTTTCATCGTCTCGTCTTGTCTCGTCTCGTCTTGTCTCGTCTCGTCTCGTCTCCTCCCCTCTCGTCTCGTCTCGTCTCCTCTCAGATGACTTGTGCTGTAGGAGAGATTCAGAGAGCTAAGTAAGGAGGTCGATGAGAATCAGAAATTTCTGCAAGAGATGTCATCCACTGGCAAGGTAGCTCCTCCTCCCTGCCCGCCCTCCTCCTCTCCACTTCGCCTGTCCTCTCCGGGGTTGTTCCTCCCTTCCTCTCCCCTTCCTTGAATCCTCGCTTCCTCTTTCGTGCGTCTCACCGTCCATTGTCTCCCCTACTCCCTCCTCTCTCGCCCTCTTGCTCGGGGTCAGCTGAGCTCCTTCAGGCGGGCGACTACACGGCCATCGTCAACGGGGCGATCTCGGAGAAGATGCGGGAGATGCAGGCTATAGACAAGAAGCTCGAGAAGCTGGGGGTGTGAATGTACTTTACAAACTTCCTCGAGCAGTTCATCGGCCCGACCTCAGGCACGCGAGGAGGAGACTAGCTCTCTAACTTCCTCCTCCATGTCGATGAGCATGCTAAGATCGGGAGCAGCTGAGATGTTCTTGAGACGCTGTCCTCCCGTCAGCACTTCTCCTCCTCCTCCTCCTCCTCCCCCTCGCTCTCACCTGATAGCCCATGATGATGGATGCCGCTTCCACAGTATCTGCAATCGAAAGATCCTTACGGAGGAGCGAGGACGACAGAGGGAGAGGAAGCATGGGAACAGGGGGGAACAGGGGGGAAGAGAGGGGAAGGACGTCAGGAAGGGGAGAAATCAGGCTGACCGATCGCTCCCTGCTCAAGGAGGCGCAGCTGCAGCTCCTTGCCTGATAAGACTATCCTCCTCCTCTTCTGCGCGCCGGAGCTCTGACGCCAGCATTAGCAGGGGATCTCCTCCCCACCCTTACCTGCAGGTTGGGAGGGAGAGCCGTACACCCTTGAGCCAGCACCTGGAGGGGGAGGACGATCAGAAGTACGAAGAAGGGGGAGGAGGGCTGCGCGATCAGCAGAGAGTGGAGGGGAAAGGAGGGGAGAGGAGGCGAGAGCGAGGGAGAGGAGGAGGGAGGAGCGGAGGGAAAGTAGAATCCAGTTGACCTTCCAAGGAGCTCCAGGCAGCTGGGTGCTGGGGATCCAATCCTGGTGCAAGTGCGTGAGAGGAGGAAAGTAGAGCGAGTGCTGAGACCTTCTGACTGATTGCTCGTATCCACTTCTCTCCCCTGAGCTGATTCTCTCCTGCCTCCCCCGCAAACTCCAGGTCTTGGATCGTGACCCTGTCGCTCGTGACCTCCCTCTGTTCCTCTGCTCCCTTCCTCCTCCTCGCAAACTCCTGCAGCGTCTTCAAGTATCCTCCAGGACGGAAGAGCGAAGTCTGTATGAACTGCTGGAACTGCAGGCGAGGGAGGACCTGACTGCTGTTGAACAGCAGAGGAGGAGCTGGAGGAGGAGGAGGATCAGCACAGACGGGGCTCACGACACTTTCTCACCTGACTGAGCAGCGGCAGTTGCCTGGTTCGCTGCAATGCTGCGCACATGGTGAGGAGAAGAGGAGGAGCCGCCCAGCCCATCTCACGAGAGAAGCCGCGCCGAGCCCCAGGCAGTGACAGCTGCCTGTCGTGACAAACATGTCAGCGCCCTGCTCTGCCCTGCCCTCCTCTCTGCTCTCCTCCTCCTCTCCTCCTCCTCGCTTTTTCTCTTCCTCTTCCTGGTCTGGCTGGTCGTCCTCCCCGCTCAATTTCATTCTCACCATGTCTGCCGCCTCCAGCACGAGCTCAACGACGAGGTCGCCTGCCGTCTTGTTCGGCTTTGCAACAGCAGTCAGCACAGCACACAGAGCACATTACGAGGGTTTACAGCTGAGTGCCTCCGCTCTCCTATCATGACTTCGATGCTCTGCAATCTGGCACCGACGTCACCCGACGCAGCAGCGAGGGAGAACAGGAGAGGAGGAGGGGGAGGAGGAGGAGGAGGAGGGGGAGGAGGAGGAGGAGGAACCTTTCATCGACGACCAGCGCATTTTCTCGTGATTCTGAGGAACTGCAGAAGCAGCCTAGTCAGCTGAAGGAAGAGCCTCCCGCCTGCCTCCTTCACCACCTCGTCTCTTGCGAGCCGACCTGGTTCAGGACTATCCGCTTCATCTTTCCCAGCCTGCTCGTCGACAACATGTGTCATGATAGCATCGTTTGATCGAACAAGCCAGCACCACAGGACAAGAGTATCAGCAACAAGACAACAGTGAAGCACAAGCACGTGAAATATCTGATCCCTCAGAGCTTCAAGAACATTGACAAGGTGACAGTGTGACAATCTGGACAACGTGCATCGTAGAGTATAAGTCAACATGCTACCTTCGAGATCCAAGAAACTTGTCAGAAGGAGTATCATTGGACCAGCTGCTCTCAATCAGTCGCTTCAAATTCCTCAGCCTGCCTGAAGTTGTTTCCGCCTGCAACGAGTCATACACTAAGATCTCTCGGGACTGCAAGTCGATTGAACTTCTCACCTGCTGATCAGCAGTGAGCCTGCTCCGAGAGCTTGAGGAGCTCTCAGCTGCATACAGATGCAGTACGCCCAGTCTGCCAGCACGCGAGGACGTCCAACGGAGCTGCAACCCCTCCGACCGGCTCGGCCGCGCTAGAGTCGGAGTGATGAAACATTCTGACTGATGACCGCTGGAGTCCGAGCAAGACAGTAGCATGACGAGTAAGATCGACAGCAAGTAGCTGCTGAAGCCTGGCATGCTACTCATGTCAACCTGTTGGATCGCACCAGACGCGGACCAAAGAAACGCTTTCCTCCTTGCAAGGTGCTGTATACCAACTGAAGCGATGGGAGGGGTATTGGGTCAGCAGAGCCCTGGGATCCAGTGGATTTTTATTGTACCTTGATTGTCAAGAGAGATCTGACTGAGATAAAGTCCTGGTTGCTTCGTCGGTGTACTTGAGCTGAGCTAATGGACTGGAAAGACCAATTTCTGACAGGGATACTGAGTCAGCACAGAAACTTTCCTCCTTTGTCTCACAGCTATCCTTTTCACCACACACTGCGATGTTCTTCTCTCTTGTCTCCTCTCCCTCTCCCTCTCCCCCCTTTCTTCCCTCCCTTCACCTCAGCTCCTGCCCCCCCCAACCATCGTTCCCTCCCTTTCCTACGCCATGTTGTTCCCATCACTCCGACAAAATAAATGACCCCACTAATTGTCATGTACCCTACCCTTAAAATGCTTCCCCCCATTTTTGATGTTACTACCCCAGGTTTCTGAAGTACTACCCCATCGTATTACAGTAATTTCACCCCCACCCTGGTAACAAATCCTTATACCCTACCCCCCATGGTCCACAATTCCCAGTGACCCATCACCCACTACCCCTACCCCTTGACATGGATCATCTTACCCTGCCCCCACCCTTCCTCAAGTACGGCCCCTCTCTAGTACCCCTTCATTACTCATGCCGAAGTACCGGTAGCTCATACCACCCTACCCCTCTTTTACAGCTTCTCTGAGTCCGCCTCAAGATTCTCAGTGAAACGCCACCGGACCGACCGGCCCCGGCACCTTCACTGACCGGGCCCGGGCCGCACCCACAGCAGCGACTCCCGTCAGTGTCCGCCTCAGATGATTGACTTTTTTTTATGTTTTTTGGCTGCAGCGGCGAAATGGCACATTGACGACAAGGTAAGGATGGCGGGGATGCAGAAGCCGGGATAGGAGAAGAGCATTGACTCGGAAGAAGATAAAGAAGTGGCATTAGGACCAGGATGAAACACCCGAGCTAATGGCGGGACATCAGGTCTTTCAAGTGAAAATGTTGAGTAGAAGCTTCATTTTTCTCCTCGTCATTACTATTTGCCTTTTGTTGGAAGCTTGGGGACAAACCACCACTGGTCTGCCGAAAAAGAGCCTCGATTGCTTGTCCCCTAACAATGCTGCAGCAACGAGTTCAGCCTGGGCGCCTCCATGCGCAGGAAGAAATAAATGCCGACAGCCGATAGGTGGTGTTTGCTTATGCTCGCTCTGCTGTGATCATCAGCGACGATGCAGAATGCTTCACCTGCACAGAAGCTGAGTACTGGCGACACCCTTCCCTTGACATCGGAGGATATCCAGGCGAGCAAGCCTGCGACTGATTCTTGCGAGCTCCGAAGTGACAAGGGAGTGCAGCGAGTGCCAAGTGTCAGGGAGTGTTGAGCCAATGCCTCTACTGCTGGTGCCTCTCGAGGCCGCGCAGTTGTGATGTCCTGACTTATTGCCAGGAAACAGCACGAAGTGATCACGGCAAAGGATGGGTTCCAGTCGGAGTTCCAGTACAAGAGCTGCGTGCCATGGCCGGTGACGGATACAGGGAGCGACGCGCTCGCGTTCTACTCAGCCAACTACTGTACCAACACAGCGTTCGAGAAGACCTCTACGACTTGCTTGAGCGGATGGTGAAGGGAGGGTGTTAGCAGAGGAGGGGGAAGTGATGGTTGTCACAGGTGCACCAAGACAGTGACAGGTGACGTGGAAGATGGGAGGATGTGAAGTTTCTCCTGACTTGCGAGGTGCGCAGAGTGCCAGTGTAACGTGCAGAGGTGCAACCTCGGGGTCAGGTTGGGAGTTCACAACCTGATCACTGCCGTCATGTCTTCTCTGTTTGTCAGTTTGCTCGTCAAGAAATGTTTCGCTACACATTGAAATTGCCCTGGTGCTCAAGACCAAACCTCCTCCTATCTCATAGCTTTGTTCTGATTTCTCTGCGCCACCCAGAGCTGTATCACATCCTCTTTCCTCTCCCCTGCTTCCTCTTCCATATCTTCCATCCCCTCGTTCTCTTTCCTCTGCTCCTTCACGCCGCCGCGTCCTCTCCCTCCTCGTCGACATCATCTTTCTGAGTCGTGTTTCGTATTTGCTTCTCAAGTGCCTGCCCATCCGTCAGACCCTCACCTTCCTGCAGCAGCAGCAGCAGCAGCAGCAGCAGCAGCAGCAGCAGCAGCAGCAGCAGCAGCAGCAGCAGCAGCAGCAGCAGCAGCAGCAGCAGCAGCAGCAGCAGCAGCAGCAGCAGCAGCAGCAGCAGCAGCAGCAGCAGCAGCAGCAGCAGCAGCAGCAGCAGCAGCAGCAGCAGCAGCAGCAGCAGCAGCAGCAGCAGCAGCAGCAGCAGCAGCAGCAGCAGCAGCAGCAGCAGCAGCAGCAGCAGCAGCAGCAGCAGCAGCAGCAGCAGCAGCAGCAGCAGCAGCAGCAGCAGCAGCAGCAGCAGCAGCAGCAGCAGCAGCAGCAGCAGCAGCAGCAGCAGCAGCAGCAGCAGCAGCAGCAGCAGA